TAACTGATCTTCGTAACACCCCTGCCCCTTCCCCCCAAAATTTGCTCCAACCTATAAAACCAACTCCTATCCCACCGCCCTTTGCTGACGCCCTTTTCAGCCTCAGCCCACCTGCACCCAGGGGAATAAACAGCCATGCTGCTCACACAAAGCCTGTTTGGAAGATCTCTTTATTAAATGTGTTTAATATTCAGTACTATTGGACATGAATAACAGTGGGTTCACATCAGATTGAGGAAGTTCTCTTCTGTTCCTAGTTTGCTGAATGATTTTATCATTAAGGGGTATTGGATTTTGTTGAAAAGCTTTTGTGCATCTGTTGAGATAACTACGTAGTTGTTGTCCTTTATTCTATCAATATAATGTATAACATTAGTTGATTTTTGGGTGTTAAGCCACCCCTGCATTCCTGGTATAAATCTCACTCAGTCATGCTGTATAGTTCTTTTGATATGTTGCTGGATTCTGTTTGTTAGTGTTTTGTTTAGGATTTTTGTGTTTATATTCATAAGGGATATTGGTCTGTAGTTTTCTTGTGAGGTCTTTGGTTTTGGTGTCAGGGTAAAACTGACATTATTGTGAGGACAAGAATGACTTTATTTTAAATGCTAATCTGTCATGTAACTTCTGACTAACCCTGAATCTGGGAATGACTCCAAAATGTGTACTTGATGTGTTACTATTTATGTAGGAACACCTATTCATTGTAAATTTTGCCTTTCCTCCAAAACAACCCTTGATGCGGTGACATCCATCATAGGGTGTGATGCCTGCACCCTTCTCTGAGCCACCTATACATTCCTTCCAGGCCATGTGTATATTTTTCCCCATTATATAAGCTCAGAATCTAGGGGGCTAAGGTTCAGACATCTACCTGTCTTGCAGCCACCCAAGACCATGCTTCCATCTTTAAGTTCCCCCTAATAAATCAGCCTAAACTGACAAACTGCATTTGTCTGCCTTCTTTGGCTTCTCGGCTTCTTCAGCATATGGGGGTCAATTTACATATATAGTACTTTCAGGGAACAATCGTAGAATGAGTTGGAAGTGTTCTCTCCTATTTATTGGAAGAATTTGTGAAGGATTGGTAAATAATTCTTATTTCAATATTTGGTAGCATTCACCAATAAAGCCATCTGGTTCTGGGCTTTTCTTTGTGAGGAGTTTTAGAGTTACGAATTTGATCTGTTGTTTTACTTATTTATTTATTTATTTATTTATTTATTTATTTATTTAGAGACAGAGTCTCGCTCTGTCACCAGGCTGGAGTACAGTGGTGTGATCTTTTTCACTGCTTTGGCTGCATCCCATAATTTTGGTATGTTGTGTTGCTTTCATTCATTTCAAAGTATTTTCTAATTTTTCTTGTAGTATCTT